ATCTACCGCCAGCGGTTTTTTTTCTCCTGAACCCTCCAAACCATAAAAACCACCATCAACTATATTTTTATTCTTTAGGAGTTTTTTTTTTCACTGCTGGTCGGATTTGTGTTTAATCGCTTCCCTTGACAATGCCTGTAAACTGGCATTTAATAAATTAAATTAAAGTGGGTCCCAGTACTGTGTCCTGGGAGACACCAATCTTGACCATAGCAGGATCTGATTTCCCTTGACCGATGCGCACAACCTGCTGTCGACCCAAAAAGGAAGTTGTCGACCCATTTATGGAAGTTGTCACTCATCCCTTTTTTAGTTTATGTAAGAGGCTTTGGTGTGGTACAGTGTCAAACGCCTTCTGGAAGTCAATGAAAGCCATGTGGACCGCGTGCTCGTCGAGAGCTCGGGTCCAGCTCTGGAGAGATTGCAATAAGTTTGTCGTGCAGGATCTTCCTTTCCGGAACCCATGTTTGCATTTCGATAGCAGACCGTGAACTTCCAGGAATTGCATCAGTTAACTCTTTATGATCACTGCCATAACCTTGCAGAGAATACATGTCAAGCTTATGGGCCTGTAGTTTGTCGTCGATGCCCTGCTACTTCTTATGTATAGCGGAGTAATATGCGCCAGCTTCCAATCGATATGAAGTGTTCTAGTGTCAAATGATGTTTGAAAGAGCATCGCAAAGGCACAGAAAGCTCATTGGCAAGTTCCTTGAGAACCTTGGGTGGAATCTCGTCTGGTCCTGGTGACTTCGATTCGTTCAATGCCTCTACTTCTCTTCAGATAATGCCTTCTGAGAAGAGTATATCACTGACGCTTAGAGTCGGCAGTTCTTCTGTAGAGGGTGGAAGGAACCTTGCCTCGTTTATGCAGACTGATTGGAAAAACTGTGAAAAATACGCAGCTTTATCCCTACTATCAGCAATCTCAACGCCATCAGTAGTCCTTATTAAGGGGATATGATGCCTGTTCCTTGTGCTTCGTCGGAAGTAGCTGTACCGTACCTTTGGGTTCTGAGTTGCTTTTTGTAGAAATTTCTTCTCGAATTCCCACTGCGTTATTATAATAAATTTTTCTCAGTTTGTTTCGCTGAGTCTTGTAGATGTTAAAATATTCAACTTGCCTAGTGACACAGTATTTTCTCCACAATTTTTGCTTCCTGTTGATTTCTTTCTTAAGGTTTCTATTAAGCCACCTAGGACGTTTGTCAAGTCTTACACTAGTCAGTAGGCAGTGATTGTTGATGAGCTGCAGAAGGACGTTCTTGAACAACTTCCAGTCATCATTGGCATTTCCCCTAAACAATGACCCCCAGTCGAGACCGGATAAGTCTGTCCTCATCTGATTGAAGTCGCCCCGCCAAACATTGCGTCTTTTTTGGCCTGGAGTATACGAAATGGAGAATAACGAATAATCCCACATATGCACTACATGATCACTTAGGCCAAGGGGCGGCATGGAGGTGATCTCGTCTCTGCTGTCTGGTGTTTTTGTAAAAACCAGATCCAGGCAGTTTGCCCTTTGTCCTTCACGTGTTCTCGTTGGGAACATTACATGCTGTGTGAGGGACGCCTTTAATTTTTGTTCAGCAGACGGTAATCCAATGCCGATTTTTGACCTGACGCATGGAGAGTGTTCCAGTTTGTTCCTGATGCGTTGAAGTCGCCCATGATCATGATGTTAGGTCGACTGGATAATTTCTCCAACTGCTCCAATAGTTGAGTGTCGGCGATTTGGTCTGTCTTAGGTGGTCGGTAGACAGTGAGGATATCGAGACACGGGGAATCGGTAGCCATGATGGTCAACCAAATAGCTTCCGTGCCGCACGCAAACTTGGTGGTGTTTTCCGACACTGACAGGCCATGATTCACATTCACAACCATACTACCACCCTGACGATGTTCCCTGTCCCTCCGATAAATTTGGTATCCAGGCAAGGCTACTTCGCTATCGCTAAAATTCCCGGACAGCCAGGTCTCGGTTACTGCTAAAACATCTGGAGACAGCTCGGAAAGGTAAAGTTTTAGCTCGTATAGTTTCTATATGAGGCTTTGGGCATTTGTGTACAAGTACCTCAGTTTTGCACCAGCTGAATTTCCCGTTGAATTTGTCACTGTTTTGACCATTACTCCGTTATCTCGGATGCCATTTTCTCTGGGCTCTTCCGTTACCTGATGGGTTCAATGAATATCCGTTGCTTCAGTCAGATCACTAGACGTTACGGATTTACTCAAGTTGTCGCCTTAAGCAGGTGCTTCCACGAATTGCCCTGTTTCAGCTGAGTAGGTGCCGTCGTTCTTTGTGTTACTGGCTGGTTCCACTGAAACAGCATAAATTTCCGAACTACCTTCCCCTTGAAGATAGCCAGATTGTGTTCGCCACCTTTAGTTTTGAATTTAACCCCAAGACGAGTTCCCGGCGTTTAAGCCGTGCCACTGGTGAGTAGTCCGATTGAAAGAAACCTGTTTGTGTGTGTTTCTGAGGTCGGTCTTGTTGGAAAGGATCAAGTTGATTTGCTCTTTGTTCTCCAACGTAATTTTGAGAGGGAGAGGTGGTAGTGCTGCTATCCTGTCTTCATTCTTTTTCCTATCCGGAATGCGATCAAAACCTTTATTTCCATGTCTGCCGGGAATAACTGATTAAGTAGATCATGAAAAGAAACAAGGTCCTTTGAGACACGGTCTTCAGGTCTTACTGCATTCGATTCCGACAAACCCTGAATAACCAGACAGTGCTGGCGAGCATGGTCCTCCTTACTTTGCCTTTCCGGTGAATTCGCTGCATGCGGGCGAGGATGATTTACGGAGTCGTCGCTTGGACGCACACTTTTGCTGTCTACCGACTGTCCCGAGCATCCCATCAGGGCAGGTTGTGACTTCAGACTCCTGTCATGGCGTTTCCCTCTCCCCTCTACCCACGGGTTCATGTCTTTGCATTCAAATACGCGCTCTGTAGTGCGCTCGGGGTGGTTGCGAGAACAAGAGGGCAACAGTAGACGGGGTGACCCAGGTATATCATCCCTAGGCAAAAGAGAAATCCCGTCACTTACATCAAGAGGCTTAGGCGAGATGGCTTCCGCGCCAGGTAATTTTTTGTAACATCGTTTAAGACATCTTGCGTGGGAATCGAGTCTGTCCTTATCGGCGGCTTCGTTTACGTTGTCCTGCTGCTACCGGCGGCTGCGGTTTTGTCTACTGAGTTGCAAGTCGTGTTTGAAGATGCCCCGGCGAGATATTTTTCGCGTTTTTTGCGTTTCCCCCTTCGTTTTTGGGACTCTAACACTGGAGACGTTCTGGTCATCTAGAGTCCGTTTCACGAGCGTCCTTAAATCAACAAGCTCCTTGTCGAGTTGTTCTACTTTGATTTGGATATATGCGCACCCAACACAAGGCTCGTCTTCGTACCTCACACTTTTTGCGGTAATAACGCTTTTTGCACGCTTTGCTGGTCGTTGGCTGGAAGCGCAGGCAGAGCGAGCACAGGTTCTGGATGAGAAGGACATCTAACCAGACTTATCTTCCAGCGAGGTGCCGTCGCTGGCTGCACTATTACAGTTAGATTGCTGAGACTCCATAAACTTCGACATGATATAATAGGTATAATTTGGCTTTCGATGTTATAACGAATACGTCGGATTGTATATGACTGATTAATGTGAGTATTCAAAACTCAATAAGCGAAAAAATACTTAAAATCTGATAAATTTTGTGAAATGTAATCAGAAGCGACTTAGCGCTTTGCAGATATCGTGGGATTTGAATAAATGCAGACCTTAGACGCTTTTGAGCGAATGATTTTCTAGGCCGTATAGCCGCGATTCGATTGCGTAGTCAGATGGACCGTGCTGATGAAAAATTGCACCTAATCCAGTTTCCTGGCGAATTTCGACCCGCGAAAAAAAATATTCCAACAATGTACAAACCAATTCTATACGTACGGTTCCAGTATCAGTGTCAGAGACGGTAACTGTGAAGCGGTAACCAAGTCGAAATAGTCCCAGTTGGAGCGCAGATTACTTCCGTTGTGCTCAGTCGGTCTGGTGATCGAGTGAGGTGTCCAGTAGCTATTACCGACCATGACTTTCTGATAGCAGTTGGACAGATAGGACCTGATGATGTCGAGTAGAGGCGGTCAAATGCCGAGAGCTTTCAATTTTACTAAAAGGCGTCTATGTGGCAACTTTTCGAAGGCCTTTCTAAGATCAAAGTAGATAACTACCACTGCCTACTGCTCATTACGAAGAAAAGTGATTAGATTAAGAAATGCCAAGTGGCACGTTTCGCATGATCGTTCAGGTAAAAATCCATGCTGACTAGAGCTCAGAAGCCGATTAGCTAGACAGAAGTCAAGGATTTCATTGAATATTATCCTTTCAAGAAGTTCTGCTAGAGACGGCGTTTTGTGCACGCCCCGATAGTTTTTAACATTTGACCGAGATCCTGACTTGAAGACGGGAATGATAAGCGACGTTTTCCATGTTTCAGGAAGGAATCCTTTTGAAATATAAATCGAGAATAAATGACTGAGCAATATGGGAAGGTCGGACGCTTGTTTAATAATCGAATTCGGAATCCCGTCCGTTCATGAGCAGTGTTAGTATTTCAAACGGCTTACGTGTTTCTAAATGAGATCTGAGGAGACATAAATTGTACTAAGTGTCCTATCTGAAAGTGATCGAAAGAAAGGGAGCGGATCGGACTCGGTAGCAAGGTGTTTTGCAAAGAAAGCACTAAACAACTCCGCCTTGTCAGTATCATCGGTGAGTAAGACTTTGTTATCATTTAGCAGGGGTGGAAGTTCGTGACCACGCTTAGAGCAGGACCTACGACGGAAGATGCTAGCGACGGATAAGCGAGAGTTCGAGTCACTGAGGGCAAGTGATTCTCCTTGCTTGATGCGCGCTTGGCGCATCCTTGAGGCCATTTCAAAAATCTCTGTGATTCTAAGATGAACTAATAAGGAACTAGTGGATAGGTCACGCAGCTGCCGTCTCAACGTTTTTAGTCTGTTGTGAAGAAAATTAGGAACAAGGGAATCTGAATACTAAGGCTTGAGATATCTACGCGACACACTCTAGGATGTCCTTGGAAACATTGGACATGACATCACGAAGAATGGTTGCATCGCTACAGGAGAGGAAGTCACACAAATTCAAAGATCTAATATAGTTATTTATTAAGTCGTTATCTACGCAGTCCTAGTTCATGAAAGTCCGAACGGCGCTGGTCTTTTTTGAAAAGGCAAGCGGTAAGCAACAATGAATTAATACGTGGTCACTATCAAAGAGGCCCTTTTTGAAAGCAGCAAAAAAACGGAGCAATGTCATTGGTAAAAATTAGATCTAAAATGTGATTATTTCTTGTTTGAGAGCACACTTGTTGGGACCAGATAGAAAAATGGAAAACATCTTGGAAGTGCTGGAATCTAGGTGGACAGATTTTGGAAACCCAGTCTATTTCAGGAAGGTTAAAATCCCAAGTGATTATTTTAACATAGAAAGCAGCGTCCGAAATTAATTTAAAGATTTAACAGACTTGTGAATCATCACTGGCTGATGAGTTTGGGGGATTGTAGATACAACCAATCATTGTCCTTCCTTGCGGCAAAGGAATAACAGATGCAAAGCAGAAGATCCCCGTAAATGCGGAGACATCCAGGTAATAGGGAGAGTGCTAATATCAACATTATTTCGGCGTTATTTTACGAGTTTCAAACAACTTTGCGGGAATGGGTGCAAACATCCCACAAAATGTGTGGCCGAAACCGCTGCCGCCTACTTCGTGGCCCTGGCGAGCTTGCGAGGGCACCCACTCATACACCATATGGCTGGTACTAATGTGAGCTGGAAACTCCCCTCCAGCAACACATCGGCTGAATCATGAAGTACTCTGTGTGGGGCTGTTGTTATCTCTGAATATGTAGATGTCTTGAAGAGGAAGCTGGATTAATATAGCGTTTCTTTCTATAATATCGCCAGCGATTTAATACATGGACCTAACTTCATGTCGGCGCTGTTTTGACTTTCGGTCTAAATAATTTTTTGGTACTTTTCACCTTACTGCACATGATCCACTAATGTTTATTTACGAAGTCGACTTGCCGCATCCACCCCAGTGCGCAAAACCACGGGAACATACATTTTCACGTGACGAGAAATCAAAAACTACAACTATCTGGGCAGCTGCGTACACCAGTGCATTAACACGTGTCGACACTACGGACATTCGGAATAGTTCGAGTCCATGGCTTCTTTTACACTGTTTCATGTTTTTTTCCTGGGTTTTGATATCACTTGGTTTGTTGTAACGCAATGGGAGTTCAAATGTGCACAAATAAAGTGAATTGATCTAAGACACACAGTGCTTGGGGAAAAATTCTGAGTTGGTGTCCAGTGAAAATTATTAAAAAGAATGAAAAGATCTATGGCATTCTTTCAAATCGTAGTCCATTTGGACTGCTCCAGCTTAAACAAACATAAATAACGATTCCTAAGAGGTCCTGTCATAAGAAAGCCGAGTTCAATGGACGCTCGTGGACGCTAACGAACGCGCCCAATGGATCACCAATGTCAGTTGTTGAGCCACTCTCGTAAAATGAACCTATGCACATACATAGAAGACAAAAAACCCATGCACAGAAATAAAGTTACGCCGTCAGTGATGATTATGTACAATGCCTAATGGTGCTGTACGAGGCGAAGGCGAGGGATCGCACATGATCGGGGCGCCTTAGGTCAGTGCGGGGATGATTAGAAGCGGGGTTCCCGTTCGGTGCCGCACAAAAGGGAGTTCAAAGTTATACACTAAGCTTTCCCTTAATTAGACGACGCAAAAGTGAGATATTATTGGATGCGACCGGGTTTAGAATGAATTTGAAAGGTGTCGGATTATCTGATTGTCCATTAACTATTACCTAGTTTGTATCACTTTTAAAAGTAAACCTTATTATTACAGATTAACGTCATGTTTAAGCCCATAATCTCCTAAATTATGGCTGAACTTATTTCAATGTCCTATATGTTTGATATCCTGTAGCATCCCGTCTGTTGTTCTTCAAGTATGTCTGATCGAGGTAGTCGTGATCTGATGCTTCGACAGGTCCTGTGCCTGGTTTATCGGCGTAGTCTCTTTCTAAGATGGGCGTGTTAGGGTCTCCTTTGGCGGCATCGTGTTCCCTCGTCAGTACTCACGCGATCGACGATAGAGAAATGAGGAAGAGATGAAAGTTTATCAATCTAACGGTTTCAGTTGAAAAGGTAAGAGAACGTAAGGAGGAGCTGATAATGTAATCTAAAGGGGCTCACGGTATATCGTCTGGGTGTATGCAGGGTAGTTGTTCGGGAGCCGTTTATGTGGATTTGGCTTGCTTGTTTGTAATTAAAACTGAAATCAACTGCTCGGCCTTGGCCCTGCTATTGTACATTAACCTCATGTTTAAACTAGTCGTTTCCCGAAATATGATTGGGAATTACTCATTGTCTTTTTGGTGTGACAGTCGAGCGCTTCATTCAACGCGGTGGTCATGGAGGCTTTGCTCATGACCCCCGATTAGTTGCATTGAAAGTGGGACTTTGGTTACTTGGACGTCAGATTTACCACAGTAATTAAAAAATGGATCGCAGATAGATCAAGAAGGTGTGCAGTTTGAGATTTGACCGATGTGCCCGAAGTGCACGTTGATGACCCTAATATTAGCCCAGTAGATTGAAAATCGATGCCAAGGTTGTTCAATTCATGAGCTCTAATCGGCTCAGAAAATTCGTAACTCACTTGTCCCCCTTACCTCAGTTCTGACGCGAAGCCCATCTACGTCACCCCTAATATCATTTTAGCTCGAGTTAACGTCATAGGAGTTCCTGCCTACTGCCTACAAGCAGCCATCCCTGACTTAATCAACTGGACTGACGTATGTATTGTTGCTGGACTAGATTAGGGCAGGTAGATTTTTCTTATTTTGCGATTTTCACTGCAGAAGCGTAGGGACAGTGCCGACGGCACGATATTGAAATTTTAGATTTGCAAAGGGACTAGAATCTCGCGAACTGGAACTACTTTTGCCGGTAGCCGTCTGCAAGGATGTAAAGTGTTGTATGTGTTGGCTTGTTTCTTGTTGGACTTTTCGGATTCTGTGTTCCTAGTTTTTTTCATACCTTTCTAGCACATGTCTCCGTCATAAGGGTCGGGCCAAACCGAGATAAACGGCCTCATGGCCTGGTGCAAAGTGCCACGTGGATGCTGTTGGGCGTTACCAACAGCTGGGAGTTCAGTAGCTGGCTCATTTTGTCAGGAAGTGACTTTCTTGTCCGGTTGTTTTTGCAAAATAATCTACGCCTGGGGCGCGATCGTGCGATCCATACCTCAAAAACTTGCCGTATCACTAATCAATTGCGCTTAAAATAGAAGGCATGCGAGCCCTTGGACTTCGTCACTGCTTCGCCTACCCCAGTTTCGTTCTGCCCTTAGGATTGAGACTTCGGTTCGATGAAGTATTTATTACCCATCTGTTAGCCCCCATCTGTAGGCAGTCTGCCCTGCTTTCATGCGCATGTTTGTGTTATCGGTCCCAGCTGGTGGTTAGGATTATGAATGGCTGAATGAAAGCAGAGTAAGCCCAGAAAAGCGGTGTATGCGTTTATTCGGCCACCTAATGTTGTAAGAAGTGCAGTGCCTTCTAAGGTGCTGCAACTGTTAAAGAGTCCTCTGGGGCTCCGCAGCGAAAGTACCTGTTGGAGTTTATAAATGGAAACACCTGGGCGAAACGTAGTGCCATGTTTGGTTTCACTTTGCAAAAACCATTTATAAGACGCGGTCTCTGTTACGCACATTGCGATACGACTTCTTTTCACTTTCACCACCGTGATATTCTCATTTTTGACCAAACATCTGCACCTTTTCCTACGCTAGTTAACAGTTTTGTTGCTTAGAAAACATTTTTGATAATCAGCCATCTTTCACTACAAAAGAAGTAATGCTATTATGACAGATGGGCGCTCACCTTATCAAGTAATGCTATGTTTTAACATTCGCATCCCAGGGTAAAGCTTCACTTACGTGCCTCTTGATCAGATCCAGCAAAGCCGTACTTTAGGTGGCCATTATTCAGATCCGCCTTCCAAACCTCTAATGCGTATTTTGGTAAATGCTTCCGAAAGAGATGCTTTCTGCTGATGTCCGACCTCTACAGACGTCAGCGTACAATTTCCGACCATCAGAACCTAGCAATCTTGTTAGGCAGTACTACCAAGTCATTTATTTATGTCCTCCATTTAAGTTATTCAAGTTGACATTTTGCATCCATTTATTGAATAAACCTACATATCACTCCTGAAGTATCAACTCTCTGCGCTTTGACTTCGAGTCAGCTCGGATTGAGCGGACATGCATACGGAGGCAATTACAATAATTTTTGCGTAACGAACCCAGGGGAAATAATCCTTTCTAGGAATAAGGGGAAACGACCGACTATCGAGCCACCGAACCTCAACAGGCCTGTGCCGTCCTTAGATCGTACAAGCCTGTAAGTATGATTCCCAACGCCACAGAGCGTAAAAACCTTGCACTAGCATATGGACAACCATGAGCTAGCTGCTCAGATTGTATTGCTAGTGTATGGGTAGACAACTGATTATCCGGTCTGACGCCCAGAACTCCACAAGAGACTGTCCCCTTCCAGGTTCCAGGTCCTCCGCAGCCTACTCTACCCTTCAAGTCTCGATTTGGACGATGGATCGTCGGCGCGCAGGTGCGTTTAAACTTAGTGTCGATCACAGTATAGATTGCCGGATGTGAAGGCTGACACCCCTCACAGGACTGTGCAGAAAGATGTATAACTGAACCAACTCGAGGCGTCGCGCGTAATCGACGCGTGAAAATGGATAATTGTTCCAGCGATCGCTTCTACTTCTTATCAAATAGTTCCTGGAACTCGCTTGTGTCGGATAATTGTGCGCCGGCGCCCGTAACATCTAACAATAAGCTCGTACGATGTCATTAGGACGATCCCATTTTATCTACCAATTGGTATGCGCTTGAGACACATAAGTTATTCGAGCTATTGACAAGCTACTTTACACTAGCGGGCTTTTATTATTGCGATAGTATAATTAACTCTTTGGTGGGTGCTGTAGACCTACCGGCAGATTCATTGGATCCATCGAATCCCCACTTCCGTAGGGCACGTCTCGAATATAGGTGTTTGTGTGTGTACAGGTTAAGGTATAATGCAACACGTCTATGAGAGCGCGATTTCTAGTCAAATGGCAAGGCCTGGACGAATTGGCATCCGTACGCACCGATATGTGAATTTTCTTTCGGGTGGTGTAGGTTGTCTTATTGTATCGGAAGAAAATGATACGTCAGGGCCTGCGGCAAAGATTGACCTCGCCGAGAACCATAATCTCTAGCGTCGCAGTGCCATGGATAACCCTGTTTCATGGTTGGTGTTACTCACAGTCTTGTAATTCTGTCAACGTTCATGAGTTTTTCGAGGTCAGTCTGTCATATCGATGGTCGTATTACTACTGACTACCACACAGCTGCGCATTAGTCTTACTTTCAAACACATCTTCCTCAATGGGTCCCCATTCCCAGAAGGACATGCTATTACCTACTAAGCATGACAAAGTTCAGGCTGCCTGAGCTCTTCTACTTGGCTCATACGCCCCTCGTTACCTTACTGTGTTCAGGCTTGACTGTGGGGTGCTTACTGACTTGCTTCTGCTGACCTGACTTCAGCCCCGATTACTCGTTCGTAGCTCCTCGATGTCTAGGGTCAGATACGATTTATCTTCACCGATTTTTCACTCATGTAAGTCGTTTTTTTCTCAACCGGACGCACTTGTCGGTCAGGGACGACAACAGTCCTCACAAACCTCCCTATATCTTTAGCCAGTTAATCGAGCACTGCTGGCATTGGTTAACCTTCCTCTGGCGCATTATGCAGGTATAATGCCTACTTTATCGTTTAGGACAGAGCTTGATGCCTATTTGTGGGGTAGAGATTCCTATTAATTGTTCAGTTATTCTCTTCAAGATTCATTTTCTTGATAATTAGTGGTCATATTCATGAATGTCCTATGAAGAATGCAGTATTCCTCGGGAGTTTTTTTCGGTTCTACAGTGTTTGCATGGCGTCAACAAGGCTATCTGAGTATATTGAAAAGGTCGCCGTAAGCTCGGTGCTCAATCGTGATACGAAACAATACGGAAAGAACAATCTCTTCGATCAGAATCCGGAAACCTGCTGGAATTCCGATGCCGGTTCAACGCAGTGGATTTCTGTCAAGTTTAAGAAACCACTCCAACTCGAAGCCGTCCGCATCCAGTTCCAAGGTGGCTTTGCAGCTGAGCAAGTCATTCTAAAACTGTGGAATGAAGAGTCCTCAAAAATATCAACTGCTTTTTACCCGGTTAATACAAACAGCATCCAGTCCTTTATCATTTCAAGCGACGAAGCTTTCTTAAATTGCTCCCTTCTTTTCACCAAGCCCCTAGATTTTTTCGGCAGGATTGTCGTGTATTTACTAGATTTCACATATGCATGATCCGGAAGAAATATCGTTTTCTACAGATTGCAGCAGGCTTTTGCATGTTGCGGGCGCAAGACTTCGTAATGTTTGGCCTTGAATGTACTCCCACCAAACAACCACACTGATTGGTTACTGTAAATTAGAATTTCAAAGTAATGCTAGAGGAACATCACGCCCACTCTACGATTTCCAAGTCACACCTCGTGAACACGTTTAGCTTATCAGCCTGAGAAGCAACGATCAACTAGGTCACCAAGTGCTCGTCTTACGCCAACATATCAGCAGGAACGTGGTTTATACTTCGAAGACAACAAACGACATAGCAAGAAGGGTCAAAGCATTTTTTAGAACAGTGAAGGCGAATACCTCAATGAATTCCTTAAATATTCTTAAGCGCTCCGACCAAAGTTGCATGTAAACGTGTTCAGTAAGGGAACGATTAACCAGTCGTATAATAGATTTGTTCGGAAGGGTACCGATGAGCTGTTAACGATTTTACGATGGTTTCAGCTGAGGCAACTCTCGCTTGGGCTCCCATGTCGTTGCCGTTGGGGATGTCGTTTCTGTTGGGGCTTCCTCATGAACTGTCTCTGAAGGAGTTTCCGCTATCAACGATTGCGAAATTTGACGGCTTTGAGTTATCTTCTTCCGGACAGCTATCCATTCAGGCTCGGACTCAGGCTTGGCTGAAATGTAAGGTCAGCGAAGTTGGGTTAATCTGCATATCTTCGGACGCAACATCCGAACAAACTGTCAACACACACACTCATACGACAATCGCAAGCTATCGTGCCCCTCACTACGATCAAATGGATACAGTGGTGACTTGCGCTCCAGATTGTTTGTACTGAAACAGAAGTGCACTCTATTTGACTTCAGTCTTCCCATGCACACCGTGTTGCGAGGGCACGAAAAGGCCAAGACAGCTAGAGCTGGGCGTGGGCGCAGTGACTGATAAAGATGACCCGCTCCCCAAATTACATACGCACCAGGCACAAGTGGGGGTGTCTGTAATTTCTGAACTCGATGGTCTTGACCATCCGCTCCCGGATGCAACTCCCGAACCCCAATCTCGTAACGAACGGTTAGACAAAACGAGGTAACGGCAGCATAGAGTGCATTTGGAAATACCATTTTGACAACCAAAACTGGGTTGTTTTATCAAACTATGAAAAAAACACTCATCGTCTTAAATGCAAAACAGAGCTCGGAACAATAACCCTCCAATGCAGCTTAGCAGGCACTTGCGGGAGCCCCTAGCAACAGTTGATATTGAAACCTAAGGACCTGTGGTCCAGGTTGATGGGATCAGTTGCATTCGCTCCAAATGATTTCGGCGTGGGTCGGTGCCGCACGGCCTATCACTCGCAATGGTGCCAGGGTTTAAGACAGGTTACTGAGGAGGGACTAGGAACTAAGAGAAGTGAGTTACGTGAAAATAGCGACCCGGTCGCATCATACTGATAAGTCGGATAATATTTCTGGGTCTAGCACAAGGATGTCCCCGACTTCATTTAAATGGGCGTCTCAGATCATCAGCCTCTGTCCACAGGTGATGGGGTCGCGAGTGAACTGCCGCCTACTAGGTCGCCGAGCGGTCACGTAATTAATATCAGACGTTGACAGGAAATGACACTCGAACACGAGGCAATTGGTTTTTCTTGTTCACTCGGCGACATCCGCCGGTAAAAAACCACGGATCAACCCCTACAGCTGGACATAAAACCGATGTGTAAAGACGCATACAGGGCACACGGTCGACAACTGAACTCAAACCTGTGAATCAACAACCACGGAGGGTAAAGGTGGACTTGGTCACCTACGATTCTTGAACAATTAACGAAGAGAACGGAATCCATGTAAAAAAACATCGACTCATACATGACAAATGTTGCAACTGACAGCTTGGTTTTTATGTTAAGAGATGAAAATATGCCAGATCCGCTTTTAACCTTCACCGTTGGACCGACTGAGTCTTATTCAAGATGGGGTCTTTTATCTGAACTAGAAATAGTGCCCAAGGACAAACTTCGGGGAGATGTTTAATGAAATTTCAATCGTCTAGGAGCCGCGCATGGAGACTGTGGTATGCGCAGAAGTCGATCACTTACAATAGGTGAACTAACAAAGTAGTTTGAAAGCTTTTCCGCCCAAGTCCCGAGAACTTGTGAAAGGGACAAGGATCATGCCAACAGTAATTGCTAGTTGCCGGCTTTGGATTAATGACGTGCGTAAGCGTTCTTTAGGATGAAAAATTCTTTAACACCCTAACAGCCTTGGTACCAAAACCACACGAATGCTCCTACGCCGAACATCATCACTATAGTTAAGAGCTCCGCACACCATGAAAAGGTCGGATTGCGAATGCAGAAGAATCGGCTGCCAAGAACAAAGTGTGGTGGACAAATACAAATACAAATAGCTGACCAATCCGGCCGGAAAAAGAATCATGGCAGGTGGCGATCATGCTCCCGTTCCTCGAATTTATTGGCCATCGGCTAGGCTTATTGCTAGTGCAAGCAAACGTTTGTTTTTGAATAGGTCTCAGAATCCGATGGGCGTTATGATTAACGCAGATGGGAAACACATTAGAGGCGACAAACTCGAAAGATGGGCATATAGGCTTTGTTGCCTTTCAGCGGACATATGTGCGTACACAACAAATCGCAAAGACACTAGACTATCTACGTCAAACAGCATGGTATCCCTGACCCAAAACCACGTCCTGTGAATACTGTGTTAGGTGGGGCCTCGGACCGTGTTTGCTTGCGATGGCCTGCCTGAGAAAGAGAATGTGCTCAAGAGCTAGTCAGACAGCAGAGAGCACAGACGGCGAAAGTAAGATATGTAGCATGATGTATAGGGCCTTAATTACCTTCAACTGGTTGTGGCCTGGGCCTCGTTCTCAGATTCATTGCTAGTCCCTGCAACACCTGGGGTTGGACACTCGGAGGTCTAACTGTACCGGGCGGTAGGCAGCCGGGTTTTCGAGTTGGTGGAGAGCGCGCGACGACCTCCTCGGCTGGTGGCCTGTAAGGGATCCCAGACAGGTATGAGACAGTATAAGTGTATCCGGCGCTAAGTGGTCAAAACACACCGGATTTCTGGCTGTTGCTGCAGATTCGTACGTCAAGGAAAAAGTTATCAGCAGGCTAGGTGGTTAAGCTGGTCAGCTTCTTAAATCTAGAATAGAGGAAATTGGGCATTACTTGCAATGAGGGCGTAAAACTTGCTTGTGGGCGCATCGGTCAGCACCGTTGCTGATTTGGCTGGCTCTAGAGTTCACGACGCCACAAGCCAGTGCGCCCATTATACTACGGCCGATGACCAGAACCACAGCGATCCTTGTTAGGGTGGACTTTCATCCCGGATATCCGAAAGTATTCGGGTCCAACATCCCCTCTAGGCCTGACTTAGCCACGCCCGTCCACCCTTCCAGCTAATCACCCGGTCGGGAGGGCCATATCAGGCAGGGTGTCGGAAAGATGACATCATGGATGGGTTCGCGTTTAGGTCGACGGATTACGTTACTGAAACATTAGGGAAGGACGCCTCTTGCTGGAACACGATCTAGAGGTGTCCCAGATCGGTGGTGGAGTTCGGCGTTCGAGACAGAGTTCGTGAACCAAAACCGCAGCGTTCTCTGGCGATCCTACGTATCAAATACCTCGGGCCAAATACTCATGGAGGTCACCTTTCGCAGCAGTCGTGAAGGACGGCTTTGACCATGGCCTCACGCATCAGATCATTGTCTAATTTGGGAATTCACGTCAACACCACAGACACTCTCATCGGTGACAGAAAAGGTGCGAGGTTATCTCCTTCTGTCACAGGTCGGTCAATAGCGGAAGAGAGGTAAACAAAACAGTCGACTATGCCCAGGAGGAGGGTGAGGGAGTAATTTCATATACTGTGAAGCCATTGAGCAGGAGCTCCTGACGCTGACTCTGACCTTTGAATATTAGCCCCAAAGTTGACCACAGTCTTGAAACTTTTATCTAAATCTTAAAACCCCAACACTTACCCCATGTCTAATGTCCTTACTCCTTCCCTTACTGCTAATATCACCGTTACAGTGATGTTAACTTTGTCCAGAACATACCTACCTAAATAAAAAAGTAGACACTTTTTACAACAACTATTAGGTATAGCTACATACGTTACCGTCCGCCTTTCCCTTGGCTAACACTACCCATTGGTCTGTATGCAGTTGCACAACTTTGGGGATGATTCGCTCCAGAGAATCGACTGCCTATGCTAGCTGGTAAAAGTATGCTTATGTCTGTTATTGTGTTTCTTTTAGCCAAGGGTGGGTCATGTAAAAAGAAGCGAAGAGGCGAGTTCCAGGAAGTAGTCTCGAAGGAGACACGATCGCTGGAACAGGAGCATTATTAGCCTGACGTCGGTCATGTGGAAGGGGGCAGGGTCCTTTGTCATTAACCCTCGGTTTGCCTTTTGCTGTAAAGGGGGAGTGACACCATATTCTCCGAAGATACAGCACACCCTGTTCAAGTAGAAATGATTAATAATGCCCCAAACGGAAACTTTGTTTCCAGACAACCGGATTTCCAGCAAACAGCTAATGACATTATCGTTAGTAGGGAGGATGCGCATCGTCAGAACTTGCGTGCCTGCCTCTCTGACAGTATGCACGTCCAAGGGGACTGCAAGGATTTTATTTTTGTTGAAAGATACTGGCTTGTATACTTGACATCCGGTCTGCTAGTGGACATCAGGATGCGTCGGTTTTTGCGGACGCCGAAGAATGATTTAACTTCTGGAGGTCATAAAAGTTCATGGGAACTGACGAAGGTATAGCACATCAAAAGCCCCAGCCTCGCTCAAATCCGTTAAGTCACATCGGCTAGTGAACCCCACTCCTGATGTATAAAATAAAGGGTTGGATACCGGTGTCGCAACACTCCGTTACTGATGCTAGTATTATTGCAGTTAGTTACCCATACTGTAAGCGTTGGTAGAGTAGCATTGGCAGCCGTGGTGGCGGTGGTAGTAGTAGTACTAATAGTAGGATTATTAGTAGTATTCGCCGTATCAGTGGTGGTAGACGGGGGAAAAAGTTTTCTTCAGTGTTGCGACACTGTATTCCCGCCAGTGGTAGTAGTATTAGTAGTAACAGCGGTAGTAGTGGTAGTAGTAGCAGTAGTAGTGGTAGTAGTAGTAGTGGTAGTAGTAGTAGTAGTAGTCCGCCCGTAAGACAGGCTAGTGGGGTAATAGACAATTCTAAGTGTTGCGACACTGTATTCCCGCCAAATAAAGTACTCCAACAGAGCGGCAGGCGCAAAACTTGTAGTGATACAAGAATCTCATTAAGAGGAGGTGCACATCCACCGACGCCGGAGAGTGCCTATACAACAGCCCCAATTTGTTGCAAACTGTCAACATTTGACGAACTACAGTATGAATTACTAATGGGTGTTTACTCATTTTATTAGAAATTCCGGAACTGAGGTAAATAGGCAGGCCCTACAAAAATCGTAAACTTGGGCAATCAAGTTTTTACAATGCATGTACTAACCAGTGAAGTATTCATATTAAAATGCTCACGAGACCTGGTTCTACAGGTAAGTTTCTCCTGACGATAAAGCAGTCATAAATGCCTTGAAATTAAACTGGAGCCTCGGAACTTACTCCATTATCTTCAGTCAAGAGTGGATATTATAAGTAATGCTTTTACCTTCTATCACCATCTGATTCGCTTTAAATAATTTAGTAGTCACAGAAAAGCCCCCTCTCATGACTACTGTCTGCTCTTAGTAGTTTCCGCTAACTTGGTGTGGTAACTTTGTCACATTTCTGATCAAAATTTGCTTAAAGCCATCTGACAGGGAATGACTGATAAAGGCAAATAGGCTGGAAGTGGTCATTCTAATGCTTCGTTGGTTTGGCGGTAGGATTTATGCGGTTTTTGATTGCTCGTTGCTGTGCAACGGCCTGAGTGGGCTCTAGAACAGGAGCTAAAAATAAAACAGACCTGTTGATTCTCTTTCCGCGGTCAGGATACATTAGTGAATAACAGCATAGAGCAACGTTTAAGAAAGTCAACTGTTTTCGTCGTTAGGTAGGAATACTATCGACTGGTCATAAAGTCGGCATTGACAGGTGGAAGCCAAGGACCCTACTATACTGCACCTCCCGCAGGGACGATTTTATTAGTAGTGGAACCAGCTGTGTCTGGATAACTAAAGTTAACACATGTCTAACGGTCCACGCCTCCGTAAACCAGCCTGTCCCTTGTTCCTTTAAGCTGTTTTCGCAGGACGAGACGTCAAAGGAGCAGAATATGGGCTGGATATTAAGGCTCCGATGCGGTCATCAATCGCAACAGTCTGTGGTGTAAGTTGATTGAATCACGCCTTACCGTGTAGGTAGGCAGACAAAAAGGTAAGTTAACTAAAAAAAACGGAAAGGAGGCTGTTTTAGCACAAAAAAGACAAGAAATAAGCGTACTCTTCGGCGTTCTGTGAGGGTGCGACTGCTGGTTCTGGTACGTCATAAAGTCCCTCACTGGTCACAGGGCCAGAGATACGCTCACCGTCGTTGGAAACGAAAATTTTGTGCGATACAGTCTTCCTGGCCGGTTTCGGGCGTCCGGCAGTAAGACAGGGTAAGGGTCCGCCTGAGGTAACATTCGATCCCTCATCATCACCACTGGCGTCGGTTTTCGTTGGTTCAGCCCCCATGGAAATGGCTGTGGATATGCAGTGGAGGACAACAGAGTGTGAGAGTACTGATACAATACTCATTCCTTGGTGTCAGTGTTCCCTACTATAGTATCATTATGTTTTAAAAACATAATACCACTAACGGGAATAGAAAGGATCTCTTAACGTCACATGAAACTGTATTGAAGCTGCAAAACTCTAATAGGGAAAGAAATCGGGCAGGAAAGAGAAGGTGACCCCACTGTGACTGGTGGTGCAGTTCCAAATCTGTCAGTTTGGAGCGTTTTCGACTTATAGTCGAGGCATGCAGCAACATCTGCTTACATACACTACTGTGACCTACAAATCTTAACATAGTCAGGCAGACCTCCGATCAGCCTTGACCGAAAGCAACGTAATTTTAAGGCGACCGTGTTTGTGGTAACAGTAACAGCGGTAGCAACGGCGTCCGTCGAAATGATATTGGTGGCAGTAGTAGTAGCTTGTCCCTAATACGGCCCACGCAGTAGATGCGCTGGACCAACGCGGGCGGGGGGCTAGATCGAAGTCCGGCAGGCGTTATCGGGAATGCGTGCCCATGACGAGAGCCAACAGTGGAAGCGTGCCAGCCCGCCCAGGTATAGGCCAACACCGCGTAGTTGTTATCCGGGCTGTCCCACCTTCTTTTCTCGATGTAAGATACTGGTCAGTTTACATTGCGTACCACAGAGTGTAGTGGTCCACCAAGATGCGAATTTTCGCCGTCTCAGCCACCTATATCCTTCCTCGCCGCCGGCCATCTTGACACCGAGCCAATGTGGAGGGTGAGGATGGGAGAGCGAGGAAGGTGCTGCGCAAGCCTACGATCACTAATAATTAACACGCCCAAGTCAGCGACCCTGCTCTCATCCTACCGTGGCGCACATGGTGGACATCGTCGAAAACGGCCGTCGGACTGTCAGTAGTAGTAGTAGTAGTGGTAGTAGTAGTAGTATTAGTAGTATGAACAGTAGGGACAGATATGGTTGCGGTAGCAGCTGCCTCACTTAGCTAAAACGGTCAGGTGGAAGTTAGTGCTGTTATAGTTTGTCGAGTTCATTTCACTTTAATGACATTGACCAAGAAATGCGCTATAGTACATAAATGAAGAAATAAGGCAATAGGAAAAGAGCAAATCGAAATTGGTAAATGATGAAGACGCCTCAAAAAATGTACTGCACGTATTGTATCATAAGAAATCTAGCCATTTTGCAAGTCAGACCTGGAGTTGTCGGAGGAGCAGCTAATGGAACGGGAAGAGGTCTCGAGGAAATCCTTCCAATTTTGCCTAAAACAGCGTAAGACGGATTAATTCGGGTCGCCACAAGTATAAAAGATCTAGGGAAAGCGTATTTGATGCGAGCACGCATTTCAGAAAAAAAAGCCACACAGCATAAGATGGACAATGCATGAAACCAACCAGCATCGACTTCGGTGCTCCTCCTGTTTCCTGAAAGTCTCTTTGAGGCTGAAATAGTGACGCAAAACAGGCGAGTGAGCACCACCCCTCAACTTCAATTGCATATCTCATTTACGCTAGAAATAGGAAATCAGAATGCCAAAGAAACATTCCTATTAGCGAAAAGTATCGCATTCTCTTCTGCATGCGAATGCTAGGACACTTAAGGCACAGCCAGAAGGAAAACTGAACAATAATCCAGAACAATACTCCCGCCGGAATGACTTGCAGCACTGGTTGGGAAGTGCGTAATCGGGAGACAAATTCCCTGGCCAGCTCTTTGTATGCACTAACATGGACTGTTAGTCCTGTCGTTTTCGGCTTGCTTATCTGGAAAAGACCATGACTAAGAGCCGTGTACTTTTCACATTGTTTCACACACCCCGTTTCCGATACTGTATCTGAACGGACATCAGCGAAAGCACACTTGTATCGACGTGAAATTGCTCATAAAGAAGATACGGCTT